ACAATACAGTAGACAATGATATACACCAAAACCTCAAGGAAACTCCCACCTGTGGCTCGGCATGAGTAGTTCCGGGCATGAGTTCTTGAGGCAGATGGCCTGGACTTTCTTGTAACCAGCAATATGACCTTGTGACACCTACCCCAGCTCTCTGCTTCTCAGACTTTTAGTCTTTAAAATGGGGATAGAGTAGTGCCTGCCTCAGTAATGGGATACTCCAATTTGTTTTCATATATACAGTGCTTAGAATAGTCTTTGTTAAATAAACATAAACAAAGGTCCTGTGGGAAAAAATGTGATTCTAAATTCAAAGAATACATTTCAGTTATAAAGAGGAGACAACAAGGGCCCTCCTTCTCACCTACAAATAACTTTAGTCTGAAAGCTCTCCAAAGGTACTAACTTTTCTTAGACCTTTCAATTTCTTGAGAGTTACTGAAGCCCAGAGAAATCAAAGTTGAAACTCAGAGACAGGATTGGTGCCCTAGGTTAATTTCCATTTTTTCAAAATTAAAAAAATAGTACCTGGGGTTCTACCCTTAACAACAAAAGAAAGACTAGATAAGGAATCAAGAAGGAATGGCAAATAGAAAATGAAATAATATTTATGTATATATTATCATGATTTTGCCACTGCTAAAATATTTTCCATGTCTCTGTTACAAGTAAAGATTTTATTTTAAATTGGATCCTTAGGGGATAAGCAGAATCAATGAGGAACTTCAGATTACACAGAACTTAAATTATCAATATTCTCTGGGACAATAAAATTTATCACCATGCCTACCCTAGAGTGAAATTATTTTGCTTAGAAATCATCAGAAATGTAAGTGATGAAGATCCTCACCACAGAGATTTTTATTCATATCATGTTCAAAACTTAAAAGACTTTTAGAGGTAAAAACCCAAGACAAAAAGTTCTCAAAATACAGACATGAAATGAGCTTGATGATTTTTGAAAGGTATATAATTTTGTAAATGTTAAGGGCCTAGTACTTCTACAAAGATAATCTTAGGATAGCATTCAATCATGAAAAAGTATAACAGGCTTAGTCACTTGGGTTTTCTGCTAGAGTCTGCTATTCAGCACAGTTACCTATTAAGTGTCCTTGATCTAACCTCAATACTCACACCTTAGTACTCATGCATACATATCCATTTATCTTTTTATTTGCACGTGTGACCCAAAGCAAGTTTTATAATTCCAGGTTTACTATAGGGCAAAATGATTTATAGTCAATAAAGCCTTTTATTACCTAAGTGCAATCCACTACTAACTACACCTCCAAAAAAAAAAAAAAAAAATCACCATTTTTGGCATGACAGGTGGGGGAAAAAGGTGTGGCATGACAGATGTGTGACAAGAAATTGAGTGAGACAAATAGGATGATACTAAATAATTATGACATGAAATTGTTTTTATTTTAAAAGCTCTATGTAAGGTGAGTGCAAACACTTATCTAACTATACACTGCTTTATCTGAGATTTGGCTCTCAGAAGATCATGTTTGATTTCACAGTATGCTAATACTGATAATAATTTAGTATGCTTAAAAGTTCTCATTTTTTAAAATTTCTTTGACTTTGGCCTAAATCTTACATATGCTTTGCATTCAATAGACTAAACACTGTGTCTTGATCATAATGATGGGAGGCAGATGGCCTGAAACATGGCTGAGTTGTTGTCTGGAACACCTACCAACTTGGGGAGATTAGGCTGGTAAATGTATGTTTCTCTGTATACCAAACAGTGACAATAATATTTCCTCTCATAGTTGTTTAGGAATTAAATGAGACAAATATGTGAAACAGGTAGACAGGGCAGAGATACAGTCAGTACCTACAATGAGGATATTGGACCTTGCCAAGATCAAATAACTTTTTTGATTTTTAGAAACTTTGTTTCTAAAAATAAAAGCCATTTGATCTTGGCAAGGTGGAACCCTCAGAGGGGATGAAGGTCATAGCCAAGCTGAGTAATCAAGTTTGACTTATCTCTTGCCACAGTATTCTAAAAGCACTAGACATTATCAAACTTGGCTTTTTATTCTGATTTTGGGCACTTCACAACTTTTTGTCTGATTTTTCTAACCTCAAAGGTAATGATAATGAACTTGAAACTGACTAATTGAATTTGACTAATACTGAGAGAACTGATCTTCATTGCAGCTGCTGCAGACCTGGTAGAAGTGACAGAAACACGTGAGACCATGAGAACAATAATTCCTCATCAGTGTGTAACTACTGGACACTTACTGGCCAATGCTAGTCTCATGGCATTGCATACATGTCTAGTATGGCAATTGCCAAGTCATTTGGTATTTGCATCTTTAATTTCACTAAATGTTTTCTAATTGCTCCTTGAGGAGGTTTTATCCATTAATATTCTCACTGGCTGTATTTTAGTGTCCCCTTTTTCTCACCACCATCAACAAGTGGTTGTAGAATGTTGGGAGTGCAGCAAACGCAAGCATCATGGCATTGCATACATGTCTGGGCTGGCAAGGGAATGCATATTTCTTAAAATAATGTGTTTGCTTTATTTTGCAGAACGCCATATTGAAGAATATGTGTGGAGTAAGACAGTGGTAATCATTAGCACAAAAATTGTTTAAATATTTTATTTGTTATTAAAATTATTAAACTGCAAATAATACACAAATATATAATGGTGAACATAAAATTCACTAATAATTTTACCTACCCAAAACTATTATTTTGAATTCTTGTTTTTTGTACTTCATATGTAAGCTCCCCCACCCCTTTGTTTCTTCCCTAGTGGTAATTATTACCGTAATGTTGGAGCTCATTATTCCCAAGTAGCATTTGGTAATTTCTCTTCCTATTAGCAATATGTAGTATTGTTTCATGCTTTTAGAACTTACATAAGCTATATGATAATGTACATATCCTTCTGCAACCTCTAAACTTTATTTTACATTTTAGTTATTTATCCACGTTAGCACATATAGGCCCATTTTATTTCTTGCTGCTGCTATGGAATATTCCATTGTTTGAAACAATTACAGTTACTTGTGCAATTTTGGCTGAGAAGGAAATAAGCAGGTCACCTACTTTGCTACAACAAGCAATACTATGATGGAGATGCCTGGATGTGTTTCCTTGGGTCAACGTGGGAACATGGGAGTGTTTCTTCAGGACACAACACTGGATTGCTAAGTCATAGGGTATTTGTATCTTTAAAACTAAATGTCTTCTAATTGGTCCTTGAGGAGGCTTTATTATTAATATTTTCACTGGCTGTATATTAGTGTCCCCCTTTTCTCACCACCATCAACAAGTAGTTATAGAATGTTGGGAGTGATGCAATAACTTTTCTTGTTAATTTGCATTATTCTTATTATAAGAAATAGTCAAGAATTTTGCGCACAAAAGTCATGATTCAACTTTTCAGTGCTTTTCACGTTAGTGGATGATATCACCATCAATTTGGTTGGACCTGCCAGAAATCTAGAGGTCATTCTTGGCCTCTCTATCTCTCTAATTGATCATCAGGCTCTTTTGATTCTTCATCACATGTACGCTTCATTTCCTTGTACTTTTCACATCTCTGTAAGCATCCTGGTCCAAGCCACCATTCTTGGTCTATATACAACTACAGCAGTCTCCCAGCTGGTAGTGGGCTACCTAGTTTTGTCTCCTTACATTGTGTTATCCATCTAAACATAAACTAGGATGATTGCTTTTAGAAGAAATTATGATCCTATGTTATTTTTTAGTTAAGTAGTTGAAATGAGTAGTCAACATAAAAATTTCTCTCTCTCTTTTCTCGGACACACACACAGGAATGCACAAACACACAGACACAGATACACACATATTTGCCAATAAACATAAAATAATAGGCTTTCTAGGCTTTGACTTTATTAATCTTTTTCAAAATGTAGCAGTATTTCTCTATATCAATAAGTTATTAACATAAGGATTGATGTTTTTGATATAATATTTAAATAAAATGAGATTATTTTCTATAAAATTAAACACAGTCACTTAAAAGACTGAAGATTTTTTTCTAGTCCTTACATAGTATCTTAATATTACATATTACCAGCTATTTGCCTTCCAACAAATTAAGTCTAAGATTACCTAACCAGGATTCTAAACAACAAACGCATTTCTATAACTAAAAGTTATAAAATAGTATTTCAGTGATCATCCATTAAAATTTTTCACTTACCTAACATTCTTTTCAAATCATTATTATCTAAAATTATAATGTGCAGTTTATCCTTTCACACAATTTAAGTTAAATCTTTGGTCAAATGGTATTTTTCTCCCTATTATAAATCTCTGATCATGAACCCGTTAAATGTGTTCTGACAGAACTGCAGAGTGAGATAGTAATTTTCCGTTAAGTTTAGCCAGACTGTTTTGACAATTACTTTTACAAAAGGTTATACTTTACATAATATTTTAGTGCATGCTTAGAGTGTTTTAAAAATCATTTTTAAAAAGGTTAGAATACTAGTTTGTATGTCTAAGTTAATGTATTGCAAATCAAAAATATTTCCATGCAGACAATAAAAGTAAGAATATATAACTTTGGTATAAAGTGTGTACTATGGTTTAAATTGTTGCCCATCTAGTTAAACATAGTGCCCAGCTGTTACAATGCTGTATCCCGAGAAGTGCATTATCTAAGAGATCCTGTGGATTGAAAAATGCCAAAGCTACTAATTTGAGATTATTTGAAATATTTTGGTTTAGGCTTAGGGATGACCTCTATTTAGGAAGCTTTAAAGTTCTCATTTGACAGTGGTAGCCCTTAGGAAAAACCTCAAGATACTATATTTGATGTCTCTGCTATATACTTGCAAGGGAGAAGATGCTGACTTCTCTGAATTTCTAATCACATTAATTTGTCAAATAATATTTTTTCTCATAAGTATCAGCATTGTAGTTGTCCAAATATATGCCAAATTACTTCACGTTCTTTGTTACATAGACCCTCTGACCCAGTTAGTCTTAGCACTCTGAAGAGGAGATGATAGGCCACCCATTTTCTGCTGTACCATGCCAATTGCGGGTGTCCTTCCACGTTCACATGGGTGTTAAAAATATGCCTTGATCCCCTAAGGAAATAGACAGCTAGTTTTTGGATAGCTATTCGTCTTCCTGATGGGAAGAAATGCATTGCATATTATCTTCCATCACTTAGTAAAAAGTCTTCATGAGCTTACTTGCAGGTGGTTTGTACTTCAGACTATAAAATGTCAGATATGGTTTATCCTTAGTTAAGAGCCAAGGGTTGTGATTTCATCATACTAAGAAAATTCTCTTAACAAATTATAATCTGTTGATTCAGTCAAGAAGTATCATGTTTCAATATTATTCTAGAAACTTAATTTTTGAAGAATGATTATTCTAAATATTAGCTCAGTGACAAATTATTTTAAGGTTGAATTGGTTTCCTAGGGCTTTCATAACAAAATACCACAAACTGGGTGCCTACGTAAGCAAAAATATATTCACTAAGAGTTCTGGGGTCACAAGTCCAAAACCAAGGTGTTGGCTAGAGCTTATTCCTTTTGTAGCCTCTGGGGAAGGCTCTTTCCTTTTATCCTTCAGCTTATGATAGTCTCAGGCATTCCTCTGGGGTTTGTGGCAGCATAAATCCAAAATCTGATTCTGTCTTCACATGGCTTTCTCCTCTGTGTGTGTGTGTGTCTTCACATAGTTTTCTCTCTCTCTCTCTCTCTCTCTCTGTGTGTGTGTGTGTATGTGTGTGTCCAAATTTTCCTCTTATAAAAGGACATCAGTTATAGTGGGTTGAGGGTCCACCCTACTATAGTGTGAACTCCACTTAGCCAATTATATCTGCAATGACCCTTTTCCCAAACGATATCACATTCTGAGGACTGGGGGTTAGGATTTCAACAAATCCTTTTGGGAGACACAATTCAACCATAACAGATGGTTATCTAAAAATATTAAATATTGATTGTTAATTGCTGGGTATAGGCATCTGGGAGGTCTATTATAAAGCAACTTTCATGAGGAGTGGAAATGAAATTGTTTATACTTTTAAACCGGAAATTCATAATGTGTGAAAATGTTTATTCAATTTAACTAAGTAATTGTGTGTTATACACAATCTGCAAGTGAAATCATGGTATTCATCAATTCAGTCAGAAAAACACACCCGTAAATTACTCTCACTCCATGGTCAGCTAGTCACGATTCCTCAATAATTTCTTGCTTATGATGTTTCTTAATTTGTTAAGATGAAAGATGGAAATCCACACCACAATATTATTGTCATGTATGGAATACTCTGCAGGTTGAAAGTAGAATTCTGGGGACAGGCTGTGTAATTTGGAATTCAGGCTCTGTCACTTACCAGGAATTCAGACCTGGGCAATTTACTTAGCTTCAGTCTGCCATCATTTCTTTACCTGCACAACAAGGATAAACATGTTAACTATGTGATGTGGTCATATTGAAATAAGGCAAATCTTCTAAAGTACGTACAAAAGAGTCTGATGACTAAAAACGGCTTAATGTTTTCTGTTCTAGTTATTGTTAAAATATCCATTATTCTTTGATATATAAAATAATTATCTTTTAGACACATAACATATTAATTAATGATACTTACAAAGACACTTAGAAGAATATAAATGCAGTGTACGTAATCCTTCACCCATCCATGCTTGCTCCGGTTGGAATTGCTGTTAGTTTGGGAATCTTCCAGATGTTCATGTTCTTCTATATACTGTACATCTTTTGAGAAACAAGCATAGTTTACTGAATATAGTAATTCCTTTATTGAGATGGGGCCATACTCTTTTAACTTATTTTCATACCCTCTCACAACCACCACACCAAATCAATGGGAGTACATTTTTATAAAATTCTGACATAATAGTCTACAATGTGAAATTAGCAGTGTATTTAGAATTTCCTTTTTTATGAGTACACGGGTGGCTTCCACATTTACATATAAATCAATTGTAAGAACCGTTTCATGTACATATACACATGTTTAACTGGGATAAATTTCTGAATTAAAATTATATGATTTTTAATTTTGCAGATAGTGTTATACTGCTCTCTATTCATTTTTCTTTGTGGTTTATTTTTATTTATTGTGTATAATTATATTAAAAGACACTGTTTTGGCAGTGGCTGCTAATTGTTTCCAAACAACCTCACAGCAACTTGATATCCAAATTTTAATACATGAAAATATTATGTTTTTAACCCCTTGGGTATATACTCAGTAATGGGATTTCTAGGTCAAATGGTATTGCTGTTTCTAGATCCTTGAGGAATCACTATACTGTCTTCCACAATGGTTGAACTGATTTACACCCACACCAACAGAGTAAAAGCATTCCTATTTCTCCACATCCTCTCCAGCATCTGTTGTTTGCTGACTTTTTAATAATCACTATTCTAACTGGTCTGAGATGGTATCTCATTGTGATTTTGATTTGCATTTCTTTAGTGACCAGTGATGGTGAGCTTTTTATCATATGTTTCTTGGCCACATAAATGTCTTCTTTACTATAAAGACATATGCACCCATGTGTTTATTGCAGCACTATTCACAATAGCAAAGACTTGGAACAAACCCAAATGCCGATGAATGATAGACTAGATAAAGAAAATGTGGCACTTATACACCATAGAATACTATGCTGCCATAAAAAAGAATGCATTCATGTCCTTTGCAGGGACATGAATGAAGCTGGAAACCATCATTCTCAGCAAACTAACACAGGAACAGAAAACCAAACTCTGCATGTTCTCACTCATAAGTGAAAACTGAACAATGAGAATACATGGACACAGCGGGGGAACGTCACACACTGGGGTCTGTTGGAGAACGGGCCTAGGGGAGGGATAGTATTAGGAGAAATACCTAGTGTAGATGACAGGATGATGAGTGCTGAAAACCACTGTGGCACTTGTATACCTACATAACAAACCTGCATGCTATGCACCTGTATCCCAGAACATAAAGTATAATTAAAAAACTATAACAATTATGTTAGAAATATTACTTTATTATTTTATGTTACTATATTAATAATGTTGAAAATCATTTTCTATTTTAATTAGTCTTCACATTTTTTTGTGAATTGCCTGATCGAAGTATTTGCTAATATTTCTTATTGAATTCTTTCTCTCTCTCTCTGATTGATTTGTAGGTTTTTGTGGACTTTCATTATTTTTTCTGGAACATACATTATTCAGTTTTATTCTGTAAACTATTATTTTTTCTTATATCTTATTTTATAGGTCTATTTTAATTAATGTGTGAATATGTTGCTGATTTTCATGTTTACACAAATCTTCCAAAACAAATTATCACTAACATATTTTTGTATACTTTTACCTAATTTTTAAAAAAATTCATTTGCACTTGTAAATCTTTAATCCACTTGAAAATGAACTTTGGAAGTTTTGAGCTAGTACTGATATATAATTTAAGACATTAAGCTTGTTGTTTAAACACTGTTTAGTGAATAATCCACCTATTATTTGTTACATAGAAATATACAAGACTATAATAGATATGTCATATTTCTAAATTGTGTCCTAGTTTTACTCAATATATCCGCCCAGTGGAGACAAAGAACTAAATAAAAGTTACATTCTTTTGTATCCATAAATTTTCTCCTCTTTCTTTCTGCTTTGATATTATGTATATGAAATAAATAATTCTAAATAGATTATTTTTTCATAAATAACCTTTTATTTGATTCACAGTTAATAATTATTTGAAAATCTATGTTTGTTGAATTCAAACTTATCAGCTTGTCTTCATTTCCTTCTTACTGGGGTTAAAGCCAATAGAAATTTTTTAGAGGTAATCTAGGATCAATACATTTTAGTTCTTGCATTCAAAAAATGTTTATTTTATTTTCATATTTGAATTATTTGTCTATGAACGTAATTATGTGTTCCAATTTCTAGCATAGATCAATTTAATATGTAAATTAACTTTCTCCAATATATGTAACAGAATGTGTATGTCCTTCAATATACATAAAGTTAATATATATCAAACAAGTTAGTTCAGTTCGGACAAAGATGGTGCCTTATTCAATAAATATTGCTAACAGAAAAGACTTATCTCTCAAAGTAGATGAAATTGTATCTATTTTATACCATAAAAAAACAAAGTCCAATAAATCGAACATTTAAGTATAACTTGTAAGGTAATACAAATCTTAGCTGAAAAATTAAAAAATCATATATTTTAAACTAGGGATTATTGAAATTTTTTAATTATAAAAGAAAATATGAAGTCTATAAAATATAAAATTAAATAACACATTTTAAATTAAACTTAAATTAGGTGTAAAAGATTGCATAAAATCAAAAAAGATAAGTAGATTGAAAATACATTTGAAATAGTTGTTGATAATAATTTAAGGACTACAATATACAAAGGTCTCATACAATTGGACTAACAACTAAAAAGGGGAATGGGCAAAGAATAGACGGAAGATCAGAATAGATAGTTCAGAGAAAAGGAAGTCCAAGTGGACAATACATATTTGAAAATATTTCATGAAGCCTCATTATGAGACTTCATGAAATCGATATAAAAACTTTGTAGAAACATACCAAAAAGTAAGGGAACTAAAGCTGTAAACTGAATCTGAAGCAAAGTTCAATGCTTTTTTGGGCCCATATTAATACTCAGTGAAATTGAATTGTTTATCCCTTTACCCAATCTCCTTGAGAAATGAAAGAAGTAATCCTCTGTAAACAAATATTATCTTGCACTTTATAATCACTGTATAAACAATGTCCACCATACAATAAAAATTTACTAGCCATGCAAAAAGACAGAAAAATGTGACCCACAATCAAAAGAACATAACATAGCTTAAGTAATATAAAAGGGTTTATATTCAAAGATTTAATGTTCATATACCTGGAATCTGAGGGGAAAGGAGAAGCTGGGGAAGAAGACTTATTTGATGAGATAATGGCTGAGAAATTTTCTAAACTGATAAAAGATGACAATGAATAACCCATTACTAGACGTAACAATGTGAATGAATCTCGCAAATGCAATGTCAAGTAAAAGAAGTGAGACACAAAGGAATAAACAGTGTAATTCCAACTATACATCCAACAAAGGACTAATATTTAGAACCTACAAAGAATTCAAACAAATCAACAACAACAACAAAATAAATAATATCATTAAAAAGTAGGCAAATGACATAAAAAATGCTTTTTCAAAGAAGGTACACAAACGGTCCATAAACGTATGAAAAAATGGCCAGCATCACTAATCATCAGGGAAATGCAAATTGAAACCACAGTGAGATATCACCTTACTCCAGCCGGAATGGCCATTATTAAAAAGTCAAAAAACAATAGATGTTGGTGCAGACATGGTGAAAAGGGAATGCTTATACACTGCAGGTGGGAAAGTAAATTTACTCTATGGAACAGCAAAGAAGATTTCTCAAGTAACTAACAACAGATCTACCCTTCAACTCAGCAATCCCACTACTGGGTATCTATCCAAAGGAAAAAAAGTCATTATATTAAAAAGACATTTGCATGTGTATGTTTATCACAGCACAATTGCAAAGATATGGAGTTAACCTACATGTCCATCAGATACAGAAGATGTGGTATATATACCATGGATTACTACATAGCCATAAAATAAGAGTGAAATAATGTCTTTTACAGCAACTTGGAGGGAATCGGAGGCCATTATCCTAAGTGAAGTAACTCAATAAGAGAAAGGAAAATACCACGTTCCCGAACTATAAGTGAGAGCTAAGTTACGAGTACACAAAGGCTAAAGAATAATAAACATTTGGGACTCAGAATGCGGGTGGCAGGGAGGTGAGATGAAAAATTACCTATTGGGTTCTGGTGATGGGTAAGTTAAAAGTCTAGAGTTTATTACTATACAATTTGTCCACGTAACCAAAACCATTTGTACCCCTCTAAAGCTAATGCAATAAAAAAATTAAAAGTTGTGTAATTTCATTACCTAAGATTTAAAACCGTATAATATTAATTTACATTGTTAAAATCGGAATAGTTGTTACTTTTGGGAAGAGGGAGTGAGTATTGTTTGGGAAGGTACATTTGATATTTTTCTGGAGTATGGTTTTAATTGAACAAGTTGCTTCTTTCTAAAATCTGAGGATAATGTTGGTATGAAGATAAGGAAGACTGCATTTTGAATAGGTAATACCACAGTCTCTGCTACAGCCCTAAAATCTCAGCTTAGATTTGGCTGTTTGACTTCGCTAAGTTAAATCTGGTGCTCCAAGGCTAGGTATCGATAAGAATTCCTTGTTTGTTCTAGCAAATTTTCACCTAGAAAGATGTTAAACAAATTTAAATTCGAAAATTTACTTTTTGATCCAGAAAATTACCGCAGTTCAATTTATATAGGTAAGGACTAAAATCATTTGGACCAATGCCCTCATATATAATTAATAGATTGTTCACCTGGACAGTTACTAGACAACAATCAATGCTTGTTATATGAACCTAGTCATACTGTGTTTACCAATGCTACACGATTAGATCACAAATACTTCTTAATCACAATCTCTTTTCTACCTTGAAAACCTCATTCTGAATCACTTTATCCACTGTTCCAGAAATGTATTTTCAAAAACCAAAACTCTTTTTCCTTTATCGGTACTACTTCTCTCTCAATATGGTATTCTATCTTGCAATAGTAAACCTCATTTATAATATAATAATATAAATATATTAAA